TCATATATTTATAGTTATTTATATACATTTAGTTGTGTATTGGTATTTATATTTTTCAGTTTTTTCTCATTTTTAAATTCTTATTTTAATCAAATGTATGATTTTTTTTTTCATATTGTATTAAACTATTGAACTTATTTAATGAGTTTGGTTGTTGTTATGTCTTTATTTAATCTAAAAGTTATTAATTGAATTTTTTTATATTATGTTTTTTTTTTATTCTTTTAAATTTTTTGCTTTTCTTCATGAAAAAGAAGTTGATGTGTTTCCATTATTTTTTGTATACAGATATGAGACGAGGTATGTGAGGTGCATCTTCTTCTAGACAGCAGGTTGATCCAGAGGGAGAACCACAGAGGCCACTTTGTCGTCTTATTTGGGGGCCTTGTAGGGCTGTTCCTACACAACAGCAACTACTCAGCTTGAGCTAGCCTCCTGCACAGCAGCAGCTTTCCAGTTTGACTCAGCTTCCCACACAGTTGCAGTAGGAGCCAAGGAAGTTTGTACTATTTCGTATTCGCCGGTAGTATCGGTTTTTGGGGTGGACTGAAACGGAATAAGTTAGAATTTCGTTTCAGTCAAAATCCATTAATTTTGGTCAAATTTCGACGTACCGGCCGGTACACCAAAATTTAACCGGTACATTATGCAAGAATTAAAAAAAAAAAAAGATTCCCTAGCCAAAACGACGTAGGGTAGCTTGCACAAATCTCCTCCTCTGTTCTCGCATCTAGCTGTCCTTGATATTGTTCCATTTTTGGTACAATTGCCCACCCGGTTTAATTCAATTCGAATTTAAAAAGGGTAAATTTCATTTTTGGTTCTCAACTTTAATATTTTACATAATTTTCATCATTTAGCTTTTTTATGTACTTTTTTAGTATATTCTTCATATTTTTTTTAGTCCTTCTATCAATTACTCCGTTAAGTTTATCTAAATACACACTTTTTTAATCCCTTAATTTAAAATGAATGGACAAAAAATATGTATATATTAGAAGTTGAGGGATTAAAAATGATAATTTTAAACTTGTTTTTAGTTTACAGAAATATAATAGCTTTAAATATTAGTATCTCTTATTTTATTTTAAAATTTGATATTTAATTTATAAAAATATATATTTATATCGATAAATCTGAAACAGTACGCGAAAAATTTTGATATTTGGTACGTACTGTTCCAGTAACAAAATCGGTACGCATACCCATACGGTATTGACTCTCTTGGCAGGAGCAACCCACTGTTACTTAGCCACCATTGGACAATGACCAGTACACTGTTGATGATGCAACAATGGAGGAGGACGGACACTGAAGAGCATAATTTCGAAGGCTAAGTTGGATGCTGAGTTTGCTATGCTTGATCTTGAGTTAGATGTTCAGCTGGAGGAAGAGCTATCTTGTGTTGTCCTGAAGACAGGACATGGCATGGATAAAGGAGATGACGCTTCTGTAAACCTGAGTCAAAGGAAGGTGCCTAGCCTTAATTGCCGAGGCACATTCAACCATGAGAGGTTTGGGAGGACTATCACAATAATATGGAAGTACTTGCATGATAAGCCAGTTCTTTTTTGGTTTAGCTGGCCTGAGGAAAAGAAGAGGGTTGCTTGGGAGAATTTCCAAGTATGAAAATTAGAGAATAAAATGAAGTATTTTTTGAGAATTTATTTAGATGTTATCATTTTATTTTATGGCATTTGATATGGAAGTACAAGGTATATTTTATATGATTTTTTATATTTTATTTATTAATAGTGAAAAAAAATGATAATTTAAGCAAAACTTTGCTCTTTTTTTAAGAAAAATCAAATCAATTATTAAAATTTAATTATTATTTTTCATTGCAGAGGACATATTATTGAGAAGAAGATGATCCTCGTGTGTATAAAATTTGGAGATTACATTGTTGGAATCGTTTCTGAGACGAGCTTCATTGAGCTCGAAACGCGTGGGTCAAGTACAAGAAGTTGCCTGAGTTCATGCATAAGGATACCTTTAAAATTTTGTTGGCAAAATGGAGAAGTCCAAAATATATTGCACTCCAGGAAAGAGGTCGGCAAAACCGAGCAAAGGGTGATCGTGTGACCCATACAATTGGATGCCTTTCTATTGGAATCCATGAGGATCGACTAGCTAGTAGGATATACTTATATATACATATATAAATTATTTTTGTTTACCATAAAAATGGAAATGTTATTGATTTTATTGATGTTCTAATGGGTAGCTAAAAGAGGAGGAGTTAGGCTGACACCTTTAGAGTCGTACTTGTTAACTCACACGACTCGTCGACCTGATACTCCAGAAGATGTCCCACCCACTTGGATATGTCCATAGGCTGAGCATACATATGTAAGAATCTGATTCTTTTATGATATTAATTGTATTGATTTTTAATGTCATATTGCCCTAAAAGAAGAAAAGTGATACAGTTTTTTATCCATTATACGTAGGAAATGATTATTTTTCATTTGATTTCCCCTTATCATTTGAAATTGCTAACTAATGAAAATTTTATTTTTGAAACAGAACAATGCTCACCAAAAATATGTGGAGAAGCATGGGCCAAACTAGGATTCGTGGCTAGAATGGGATCCACTTATCTGAAAGGAGGTGGTTGGACCTCCTAAAAGGGTCAGATGAGAGGGATGTCTACATTACAAGATCCAGTAGAGCATGGCATCCCTTGGTGATAGTATGACATGAGTGAGGGCTCCTCTTCTACTACCATGATTCTTATGACACAGGTCCAGCAGTTGAAGTTTGAGCTTATTCAAGTTCGGGAAGAAATGGCTAAGCGAGTTTAGACAGAGGTGGCCGCACGTATTCCTACAGAGGTATCACAGAGAGTATCAGAGAGGGAGGCTAGCTTTCAGAGGAGATTCTAAGAGTACATGCGCTTACTTAGCCAGCAATATTCTATGAATGCTACACAACCCCAGATTGGTTATCCTTTTTCTGCACCACCCAAGACTGCTGATCCTTCTTTTGGAGGTTTTAGACCTGATCATTTACCACCTCCTACTTAGAGACATTGATATTTTAAACTTATATTATATATGTTTATATATATGTACTGCATATGTATATATATGGTGTGTAGGATGAGAAGTTAGTATATATTTATTAACTTAAAAACTATTTTTTAGTTATGAAGTATTTGAGTTTAAATAAGTAAAATATATAATATTAATAAAATTTAACAATTCTATAGTAAAAAGAAAAAAATTACAATATAATATTTCGCAAAGAAATAGCACATATATATCTTTATCTAAACTAGAATTTTT